CATTGTTTGATTGTAAACCGCCAAGTACTGAGTCAGACTCGTGTGCAATGTGACGCTGTCTGCCGTGTGGAAAATAAACAGCGAAAATGTAATGTTTGCTACATTAAATTTTCGCTGTTTCTATGTGTATAATAATGATTTGGATTTATTTCGGAGAATGGATAGGCCCAACTAAAAATTGGTACTAGGTACATTCTTTAAATAAAAAAAAGGAAAGATTAAGTCGTAACTATATTATGCTTATAATATCAGATCCGAAAGACTGGGTTCCACTAAAGCAAAGTAGAACAAGAACAATCAGTTATTTTATCTGTGTTCATAAAATTTTTCTTAATTATTTGCGTATACAATCGCGTCACCTCAGCAAATTGAATAATATTTTTAACATTTATATCTATTTGCTCACTTAAATTTAATTTTCGATGTCGCTGACCCTGTACGTGTCAAACTTCAAGTGTAGATAAGATATTGTGCACAAAATTAAATAATATGATACGAAATTCGCATTGTAAAGTGTGCAAAAGATAATTCGGGTAAATTCGATGGTAAATAATTTTTCTACTGTTTGTTTATTTAAGAATTTACATTTTAATAGCGTATATTTAGTGCGCAGAACTCTTTTCTTATTAAAGATGAAAATAAATTTTCATTAGGTACTCGAACACTCACAGCGACTTAAATTCTCAACAAACACAAAACCAATCCCTTCTGTTCCCCAGGGACCATAAATGTTACCATGCTAGTGTCTCGTCTTGGTGTCTTATTTTAAGTTAAGCTAAGTTCATTGGGAGCTTTATAAACTGAAATAGAATATAGTCCAATAAATACAAATTATAATGGAAATTTCGTTTTTAAATACCTGTCCAATACTGAATGGGATTAACAATACATATTCTTACTTTATCTATTATCTTGTTCACAGCACTTTTGTGTGCCCCACCGAAATCATCGCGTTCTCCGACCGTGCTGATGATTTCCGTAAGATTGGCTGCGAGGTCATTGGTGCCTCCACCGACTCTCACTTCACACATCTCGCTTGGATCAACACCCCACGTAAACAGGGTAAGTACGCTTTAATTTGGGATTTATTGTACTTCAAGTTTATTTGTATCTTTTATGGTCTACTGGTTTAGATAAAATTATTAAATGAAAACAATCTTAGCATGTCTTTTAATCTAAAAGAGGTCTATAAATTTATAATCGTATATAGTATATATTTTATACAACCTCTAATATAAAAAGACATATCAAGATTGATGACATATGAAGATGGTGTATCTAAACCGATACGCCATAGTTATTTGAAATCTGTTCTTAGTTGAAATAGTTTCTAGAACATGTCATTGTGTGTCATCTCTGGTCGTATACAAATACCTACATATATGATCCATGACAATTCCACATTCAAGAATGTGTCACACCATGCTTATCACATATTCCCATATAAATTCATATAATTAACAATCAACATACCTACATTATTCAACAAACAATTATTAGTATTTAATTTTATTGCTCTAGTTATAAAAATAATGTTTAGCTCATAAGTCTACTAAGTAACGATAAACTTCCCATGGTTATTTTCATAAAGTGAGTCTACACTAGCTAGCGTTTTCAATACTTGGAAACAACCATGTTAATTTGATTCAATAGTATCTATGAATGTATCTATAAATCAATACTAGATACTTCAACTACTAAACTAATGAGAATAATAATGATAACTAGCTACTATTCTCAAGGACATGAATAATAATGTAATAAATTATTTGCAGGTGGTCTCGGTCCCATGAACATTCCCCTGATCAGTGACAAGTCTCACCGCATCGCTCGTGATTATGGAGTGTTGAACGAGGAGACTGGCATCCCATTCAGAGGCCTGTTCATCATTGATGACAAGCAGAACCTTAGGCAGATCACCGTCAACGACCTGCCTGTTGGCCGGTAAGAATACATTTTATAACATTACTACATTACACTTATAGTGTTGGCAGGCAGTTACAGGGCCGACATTGTGGACAAAAAAAATTAAACACATGTAATTATAGTTAAAATTATGAATGAAAATTGGTTGTATACTGTATACCCTGACAATAAATAACACAGTATGCAGTATTCCATCGGTATTGACATTCTTAGCCCCTAAAATCATTTCCAACATAGGTATTTATTTGCAAAAAGTATCCTTTGTTTACGTAACTTGTAACCTTTAGTCAGTGAAGTGATCATAAAGTACAAAGTGGCAATAAAAATATATTGTTCATTGATTGATAAGTTATCGTCATATATACAATCAGTAACAAACTGCTTTTAGTTTTACCAATTGTTTTAAAGCATGACAAATAAAAAAGGGGCATAGTTATATTCTGCTCAATGTCAAGTAGGTATCTACTGAACCTCATTTAGATTGTGGAAAGCAGTAATTAACCTAATCTTTGGATAATACTCCTATCTACACGATTCACGGCCTTAGCGTGCCCGTAAGTGGCTTCAATGCCCTAAGGGCCATTCTATAATAGAAATCAACAACATTGTGATTTGACCACTTATGTTGCAAATTATATACACATCAATCACATTTAAGAAACAATTAAACACTTTACTCAGCTGTCAGTGATTACATTTTTATACGGGGAATATTCAAAAAGGTATAATTCTATCTAACAAATATAATGGCGTGTAACAAAACACGTGCGTGACAGTTGCGCGTTCTCATGTGTTCACGATATACTGACGACCTTCGGTTTATCATCCTTGTATGAATTAATATAGGTACCTACAGAAATTAAGGAAATAATACTATGTTCACTCGTCAGTAATAGTTAGTTATTTGCAAATTTAGAAGTTTTAGAAACACTAGTGCTTGCCTATATCCAGATATTATACAGAAAATTGAACACTAATTGTCCAGCCCATGTATTAGTAATTATGTCTATAGGAAGAATCTAAATATGTTTCATAACTTTCATCCTCAGATCCGTCGAGGAGACCCTCCGTCTGGTGCAGGCGTTCCAGTACACAGACAAGTATGGAGAGGTGTGCCCCGCCAACTGGAGGCCTGGCGCGAAGACCATCAAGCCCGACACCAAAGCTGCCCAGGAATACTTCGTCGACGCCAACTAATCACTCTCTATACAAAACCACGTAGGCGCGGCTGAACGTTGATATCTCTCGCTAGTTCGAGCACCAACCAAAAGATGCCGCTTTTATAAAAATCGTATAACTTTTGGTCTTACATATCGAAATTCAGCCGCAAATAAATTAGTTCCCTTATCAACGGAAATTGCACTTGTGATGATCATCATGCCTCTGTCATAGTCGCAAGTGCAATTTTCGCTCTAGCACACTGAAGGCCGAAAATTGGAGTTGAGAAGTAATCTGAATCTCAGTGATAGGCCTGTTCATCTTTGTCTTAACAACCATCAAATAAATTAAAGGACAGGTATAACAGGTGAAAACTCCTATTTTCCTTTACAGTTGGACAATAATAAAATGTAGGTCACTAAGGTGCTTAGTACCTCATACGCAATCAGTATTCAACGGAGATCCTATGATATTGTACTCTACAATCGAGGCTGTAATAAAAGCTATTGTACTAAATTCTTTTGTTTTATTTTCTGTACCTAAACATATATGTGACCAACTAACCCGTCAGATAAGACAAATCCGCATATTATTATGGCATTATTTATAGACTTGAAATAGCCACAATACGGTAGTTTCCAACCAGTCAAATTCAATACTTTTATTTAAACGTCAAAAACGATACTTTTCCTATGAAATTTGTATGAAAAACTGAGCTATGACGTCATAACATTTTTGCGTCAAATAGCTTACTTATTTCCCAATAAATAGCTAAAAAAAATCTAAAACTTGGTGTATCGATCGATCGATGAATAAAAGTTTAGTTATTTTTCAATATTTTATAGTACCTATTGAAACATCGAATTAATTTATTTTTGACCTAGGAAACTACCCAATTGTATAATCGTACTCTTAAATGTTACGCGCAGTAAGGGTGCAGTTCCAGTGAGAAGGAGCGGAGAAGAGCTGTGGCACGATTTACCAATCACATGGTTTGAAATTCACATTCATTAGAGATTGACGCTCTCGTCTCTCCTCACTCTGGGTTCACGGAATTTCGCGCCTCTCAAAAAAATGAAACAGTAGATAATAGAAAATAGATTCTTACGTTTTTGGAGCAGTTTACTATTTTGTTGTATGAATATTTTTCAATAAAGATCTATCGTTTCTTAAAGTTTGCAAAACACACCACGCCTTCTGTACTCCCGAACCTCGCATGTTAAATTCTATGAGACTTCTCGAAACGACGATGTGTGTGTATGCACACGCATGTTAAAAGCAACACCATCTAGTGTTTTTATTTTGAATATACATAACTTAACGCACTAGTTCACTATCAGTTTCACAGATGTCTCTGTAATAAATTACACTACAATAAATGACTATCATAATAATTTATTTTTTGTTTGAATTTCGAATCAGACGTTTTCGGATCTTGCCAACAAAAATACACTTACCTCATAAAAAATAATAGGTACAAACGCTTACGACAATAGGTAATTGTTTTCAGTTTGAGCTGAAATAAATCTGTGTCTAAACTGCTTGCACGGCGTCAAATTGAAATACCTAATAATGAACTGTTTATTATTTTGTAGCCCATAAGTAGGTATTGAAGATGAGATTTAATTTTATGTTGGATCTAGATTATATGAACGAATTGTTTACAATGATCACTTACACAATATTTATCAGGTATGAGACATGAAGAAAAAAACAACGACCTAATTTTAAAATAAAATAAATATGAGGACATGTTTATAATATTAAGTTACAATAAACGTGCATTCAGCCTTCACATCTTTGCCGCCAAGTAAATTAATCACCCAATGAGACCCCCGCATTCCCGCTCAAGTAGTGTCGCAAGGAGCACGCACCTCCTATTTGAAAAAAAAAAATCAAAAATTGATTTTGGAACGATGAACACTGAAGAAAATTATTACAGTGACTATGGTAGTGGCAGTTCATCGAATTCTGTAAGTATTTTACTTAGTATTTCGATAAAATCTCGTATTATTTTTGCAAAATAGATCGAATATATTCGTGTAACTAACACCGCCAACAAGTTTTAACTCGTTGTTTTACTATGAATATTGCAGAAAAAAAACAAACTTCTGAGAATGTATTGCACTCTCAGTTAGTCGAAAATCTACAATTTATTTTTATTGTTATTTTCGTTTATATAGTTTTTTTTTTTATATTTTATGATTGAGTGTGAGGGTAGAAGTTAAAATCTTCGTTGATTTTTTTGCTAAGCTATTGATTGTGTAGGCTTTTTTGGGAAAGGAAAATCATTAAAATAATGATTTCTCTCACCCAGCGTGAGTGCGAGAGGGAGTGTCAGACTCTTACTGACTAAAAATAGTAAAAATACCCCGTACCTAATCCTGCTCTGGGCCATGGCCAGGGTGTTTTGCGCTTGCGCCGCAACCGCAACCCCGGCTTGTGTAGGTAGTTGACTTGTCTCGTACCTACTTGTCTACCTAAAGGTGCTTATTCAACCTAGAACACCTAGGTGCCTTTATATTTTACCTACCTATGTAGGTAAGTGTAAAAGTAATCAGCCTACCTGGGGTACCTACTCTGTTTTGTTATTGTTACCTATATTGAATTTGATACTTACCTAGTTTTATTAACATGCGTGCATTATAAACATGATTTTTGTGACGTCATCTGAATCTTTTGCGCTTACGCACAATTTCTATCACGTGTCACGTGATCAATCTATCCATTGTACAATTAGTATGTACACATATATATGTATGTTATATTATTGTATACCTATACATATAGGGTCGGTTCACATCAGACGGGAAACGCGGCGAGTGTCGGAGTGTATCAGAGATGTAGGGTCAACTCAAAAACGAATCACACGAAAGGGTTGGCGAATTGGTCAAGCTCAAGAATGTACCGTGGTACATTCTCTACGGTCCGTAGCCTCAGCTCGGCATGTAGGAGGAGAAGAAACTGAGGATTTTTAGTCAGTCAGAGTTTGAGCCTCCCTGTGTCTAGTGCGTTAACAATAGGTAGCGAGAAAATTAATACGACGACTTTCCAACCTTAAAATAAAGACGTGAAAGGTTGGATGTTTTGCATTTATCTGTTCTGGCGTTAGGTACGTGATAATACCATATAATACCGATGGTGCGCGACGCATGATGTTAACTGATGTTAAGTACCCGAATGTTGTTGATGTAAGCCGACCCCTATCTACTTGCTGAGGCAGTCCTGCAGAGTTAGGTCCTTACCCACTAGTAGGTAGTTGTAATATTGCAGTCACAGATTGCAGTGCCTAAGATTTATAGGTATTCAATCTTGTAAGTAGATACTAGGTACTTGAAATTTATTAAAAGATATTTACCCAATGATAACCCATAAGCGCTCAGAGCCACACTTTTTCATATTTGCCTCTTTTTCACTCGCGATTATTAAATCATGCCATCCCACTTTAACGTCTAATCATACGAATTGTTCATGTGTGCATCAGTGTGCCGTTTTTGAAAATCGAATGTTGTTTATGTAGGTAATCTATCTACACCATTTTACTTATAATATCATTGTATTTACCAGTTTGAGGTACCTACCTTGATGTGCGTCTGGTTTTCTATTAATTATGCCAATTGCAATCGCGGTTTATATAGTTATCTGAACCTTTAAATCGTGGTAATTCGAGACACATTAGAATAGCAATAGATCCGCGAGCGCCGGCGCGGCGTTTGCTCGGCGTTTTAAATATTATGTATTATAACATAATTATATCGTACCTACACATTCCACATGGGCTTCCTATAAAAATAATAAAGTCAAAGTCAAAATCATTTATTCCAACTAAACCATAAATAGATACTTTTGAAACGTCAAAATAGAAAAGTATGTAGTCTGTCAGTCTGTTCGTCAGTGAAGCTAGGTGCTCATTCCAAATTGTAGATTCGAATGGAGAAGAACGAGCAAGAAACTCCATAATGGAGAAGAACGAGCAAGAAACTCCATAGAAATATAACTGGGATAACGCTTTGTTATTGGATTATTTAATAAATGATTTAAATATTAGGTACTTAATACAGATATACAGCTTTTAATCTATTCTACTTAAGCCCGTGGTGGTGCTCAACTGACCCAGCCTGATTCTACTTGCTGCCTCATTGGCCCCGCCGCCCGGGCCGAGGTTCAAATACTACTAGGGGAGTCCTCAGTGATTTAGTTGATAAGGAGATATTGTTCCCCTGGCTGACTTTAGCTTAAGAGGCCCTCGCATGGCACGGTACGGGTATGGCTGTGTGGTACAAACAAAAAAACTTAAGTCTTAAAAGTTTACAGAGTTTTACAGAAGGTACTATTTTAATAATTTAGCTTATAATGAGTCTGTCATCAGCAGTTAGATTAAAATACTCTTAAAATAGTATCTAATAAATATAAACTTAACGTTTATAAGTATATTATAAAGTAGGGTCCTAAGGCAACAGGTGCCTTATATTGATTAGGTAAATAAAGTAAACGATGCCTTACAAGATTTTTAAACTTACCCTCATCGTGTCACATTTGCGCTTATGTTTTCATTTTTAGATGTTAGGATTAATAAATTGATAATATTCCCGCGCGTAGGTACTTGTGTTTATGTGTATTGTGGTAGGTAAGCAGGACACATACCTATTTAATAATAATATGTATACCTCCAAATCTCGTAAGTGAGCCGTTACCTATTATGAATAAATTTCAGAGGGGTTGCAAAAGCATTGCCGACTTTTTGGGGGTCAGTTATTTTAGTATTTGGGGATTAAGGTAAGTAAGGCCTTTTCTAAGGAGGGAGGGGATGGGGATCATCACTCATGCAACAAAATAAATCTCAATTTTCACTCCGTTGTCCGCGAAGCCATGGTATTACTCCTAGTGGAGCTGGATTAAGTATTAGTACCGATTCATTAATGTCACACTTAATCTGAGAAAAATCTCTCTTATGTTATTAATTTCTTGCTGCTTCTTGACTGATTGGCTACGAGAACGACTGCTAAATTACGGGTATATCTAAGTAGGAACCTACTTTTATTTGGATACTTAACTACGGTGTACGGCAACAAGCTTCAATGTATCTACTCCTCTAACCACTCAAGCGTCCTAGGTGACTACAGTCACCGAAAGAAATTTTTCGGTTTGAACGTGTACAGCGCTATAGCCAGGTGATATTAAAATAGTTGAATTAAATAAACTTGAATTGTATTGCAGTCCACAACATGGCCACCGCAGGATGTGTGGACGTACAAGACGTCCCCGATAGAACAACCCCCTGAAAAGAAGTCGGCTAGCTACCAGGATTGTGAGTATCTTTTTCTTAGTTCAGTATTTCAGTAAGGGATGTTGTGGCTTACGATGAAGATCTAGCAAGCCTGTCTATAAGAAACCAGGGGAACACTGACATTATACGTATGGTTTCTAAGTGTATTTTGTTCTTCAGAAAACACAGACATGCCCCGTTTCCAGTCCTTAGCTGTCGGTTGATTTGATTTTTTTATCATTCCTACGTCTATTCCAGTGTTGACAGGAAGATGTACCCTGGAAGACATTATGAAGGAGTTCAGTATGAACGGGCTGGACTCGCCGTACACTCCTGAGGAAGACGGGATCTGGAACAATCCGGGCAATCGTTCTGGTAAGTGTCCAGAGTACGTACGTAATTTACCCATTGTATAACTTATTACATTTTCGTGGTGTCCAATTGGCTTGGTGCTTAGTCAAAGTGAAAATCAAATCAAAATAATTTATTTCAAATAGACCAACATTTTGAATATTTCAAGAGGTTTAAGTTTATGCGTGTCAGTCTGTCCGTCTGTCTGTCCTCTAGGGAAGTTATTTGCTCGTTCCAAAGTGTAGATTCCTATGGAGAAGAACGAGCAAGAAACTCCACGGTTACGCTTTTTCAATCAGTTTTACAATTCTTAATATTTGCTTATACTTTAATCAGCCTATATTTGAGATTGCGAGACATGTCACCAGAAAATTGAAATTTTTAAAGCTAGCACTTAATCTTCTTCTAGATACCTTCGGAGGCATGGGTCCCGCGAGTGTGTACTTGCGACAGAAGTCATGGCCGGAGCCCGAACGCTCCCCAGCGCCGCGCCTCCCGCGCCCGCGTTCCGAGTGGCTGCCCTCGCTCACTGCGCAGGAGTTCCAACTTAAGGAGTTTCATCCAAGGGAGTTCCAACCTAAGGAGTTCCACCCAAGGGAGTTCCAACCTAAGGAGTTTCATCCAAGGGAGTTCCAACCTAAAGAGGTCTCTGATTTCACTTCGGTTGAAGGTTAGTCAAATTGTCATATTACTGTTTTACTTGAAATATCTTTTCTCGAAATTTCTTGCTCTAGGTCATTTCTGCAGCAATTAAGCAAGATTAGACTGATTAACCGGGTTCTCCTTTTCATCATTTCATTGTTTGTTACCCTTATGGATTTACAGTTGATATTTATATTTTAAACTAACAACATGTTTACTTGCATTGTGAAACATCAATAATTGACATTACAGCTAGTGCTCCACTGGCGAGTCTGTCATCCGAGCAGATGCGTGTGCTGCAGTCTCTGCCCAACGCTGTGGTGAACGCATTGCTGCAGGAGATAGAGCGCAGGCCTGACCTCATGAGGCGGTGCAAGAAATCTGTAAGTTATTCTTATTATCTATCATTAGTTCTTTTGAAGCATTTATGTTCGAAAAGAACGGGTTCACTAAACATCGTGATTGCATCCGTTTCTTTTATGTGCATTACCTGATGGACAGCAATCGGCGTCGCCTAAAGACACCAGAGACATTACGAGTGTATTGGCGGACTTTTGGTGATTTGAATTTCGGAGCTTTAGGGATTGTAGAGGGATGGGGGGAGGGGGAAGGATTAAGTCTCCTTCAACCTTCATTCACAAGACGAAACAACGCTGTGGTTCTCTCCGGTTGAGTCGCCTAATTCGTGTCGACGCGCGCGGCGCGGTGTGAGAGTATGTATGATTGTATGTCGCGGCAGGCGGTGCAGGAGTGTCGGTTCTGCAAGAACAACGGCGAGCGCGAGTCGTACTACCGCGGGCACCGGCTGCGCGACGCGCGCGGCGCGGTGTGAGAGTATGTATGATTGTATGTCGCGGCAGGCGGTGCAGGAGTGTCGGTTCTGCAAGAACAACGGCGAGCGCGAGTCGTACTACCGCGGGCACCGGCTGCGCGACGCGCGCGGCGCGGTGTGAGAGTATGTATGATTGTATGTCGCGGCAGGCGGTGCAGGAGTGTCGGTTCTGCAAGAACAACGGCGAGCGCGAGTCGTACTACCGCGGGCACCGGCTGCGCGACGCGCGCGGCGCGGTGTGAGAGTATGTATGATTGTATGTCGCGGCAGGCGGTGCAGGAGTGTCGGTTCTGCAAGAACAACGGCGAGCGCGAGTCGTACTACCGCGGGCACCGGCTGCGCGACGCGCGCGGCGCGGTGTGAGAGTATGTATGATTGTATGTCGCGGCAGGCGGTGCAGGAGTGTCGGTTCTGCAAGAACAACGGCGAGCGCGAGTCGTACTACCGCGGGCACCGGCTGCGCGACGCGCGCGGCGCGGTGTGAGAGTATGTATGATTGTATGTCGCGGCAGGCGGTGCAGGAGTGTCGGTTCTGCAAGAACAACGGCGAGCGCGAGTCGTACTACCGCGGGCACCGGCTGCGCGACGCGCGCGGCGCGGTGTGAGAGTATGTATGATTGTATGTCGCGGCAGGCGGTGCAGGAGTGTCGGTTCTGCAAGAACAACGGCGAGCGCGAGTCGTACTACCGCGGGCACCGGCTGCGCGACGCGCGCGGCGCGGTGTGAGAGTATGTATGATTGTATGTCGCGGCAGGCGGTGCAGGAGTGTCGGTTCTGCAAGAACAACGGCGAGCGCGAGTCGTACTACCGCGGGCACCGGCTGCGCGACGCGCGCGGCGCGGTGTGAGAGTATGTATGATTGTATGTCGCGGCAGGCGGTGCAGGAGTGTCGGTTCTGCAAGAACAACGGCGAGCGCGAGTCGTACTACCGCGGGCACCGGCTGCGCGACGCGCGCGGCGCGGTGTGAGAGTATGTATGATTGTATGTCGCGGCAGGCGGTGCAGGAGTGTCGGTTCTGCAAGAACAACGGCGAGCGCGAGTCGTACTGCCGCGGGCACCGGCTGCGCGACGCGCGCGGCGCGGTGTGAGAGTATGTATGATTGTATGTCGCGGCAGGCGGTGCAGGAGTGTCGGTTCTGCAAGAACAACGGCGAGCGCGAGTCGTACTACCGCGGGCACCGGCTGCGCGACGCGCGCGGCGCGGTGTGAGAGTATGTATGATTGTATGTCGCGGCAGGCGGTGCAGGAGTGTCGGTTCTGCAAGAACAACGGCGAGCGCGAGTCGTACTACCGCGGGCACCGGCTGCGCGACGCGCGCGGCGCGGTGTGAGAGTATGTATGATTGTATGTCGCGGCAGGCGGTGCAGGAGTGTCGGTTCTGCAAGAACAACGGCGAGCGCGAGTCGTACTACCGCGGGCACCGGCTGCGCGACGCGCGCGGCGCGGTGTGAGAGTATGTATGATTGTATGTCGCGGCAGGCGGTGCAGGAGTGTCGGTTCTGCAAGAACAACGGCGAGCGCGAGTCGTACTACCGCGGGCACCGGCTGCGCGACGCGCGCGGCGCGGTGTGAGAGTATGTATGATTGTATGTCGCGGCAGGCGGTGCAGGAGTGTCGGTTCTGCAAGAACAACGGCGAGCGCGAGTCGTACTACCGCGGGCACCGGCTGCGCGACGCGCGCGGCGCGGTGTGAGAGTATGTATGATTGTATGTCGCGGCAGGCGGTGCAGGAGTGTCGGTTCTGCAAGAACAACGGCGAGCGCGAGTCGTACTACCGCGGGCACCGGCTGCGCGACGCGCGCGGCGCGGTGTGAGAGTATGTATGATTGTATGTCGCGGCAGGCGGTGCAGGAGTGTCGGTTCTGCAAGAACAACGGCGAGCGCGAGTCGTACTACCGCGGGCACCGGCTGCGCGACGCGCGCGGCGCGGTGTGAGAGTATGTATGATTGTATGTCGCGGCAGGCGGTGCAGGAGTGTCGGTTCTGCAAGAACAACGGCGAGCGCGAGTCGTACTACCGCGGGCACCGGCTGCGCGACGCGCGCGGCGCGGTGTGAGAGTATGTATGATTGTATGTCGCGGCAGGCGGTGCAGGAGTGTCGGTTCTGCAAGAACAACGGCGAGCGCGAGTCGTACTACCGCGGGCACCGGCTGCGCGACGCGCGCGGCGCGGTGTGAGAGTATGTATGATTGTATGTCGCGGCAGGCGGTGCAGGAGTGTCGGTTCTGCAAGAACAACGGCGAGCGCGAGTCGTACTACCGCGGGCACCGGCTGCGCGACGCGCGCGGCGCGGTGTGAGAGTATGTATGATTGTATGTCGCGGCAGGCGGTGCAGGAGTGTCGGTTCTGCAAGAACAACGGCGAGCGCGAGTCGTACTACCGCGGGCACCGGCTGCGCGACGCGCGCGGCGCGGTGTGAGAGTATGTATGATTGTATGTCGCGGCAGGCGGTGCAGGAGTGTCGGTTCTGCAAGAACAACGGCGAGCGCGAGTCGTACTACCGCGGGCACCGGCTGCGCGACGCGCGCGGCGCGGTGTGAGAGTATGTATGATTGTATGTCGCGGCAGGCGGTGCAGGAGTGTCGGTTCTGCAAGAACAACGGCGAGCGCGAGTCGTACTACCGCGGGCACCGGCTGCGCGACGCGCGCGGCGCGGTGTGAGAGTATGTATGATTGTATGTCGCGGCAGGCGGTGCAGGAGTGTCGGTTCTGCAAGAACAACGGCGAGCGCGAGTCGTACTACCGCGGGCACCGGCTGCGCGACGCGCGCGGCGCGGTGTGAGAGTATGTATGATTGTATGTCGCGGCAGGCGGTGCAGGAGTGTCGGTTCTGCAAGAACAACGGCGAGCGCGAGTCGTACTACCGCGGGCACCGGCTGCGCGACGCGCGCGGCGCGGTGTGAGAGTATGTATGATTGTATGTCGCGGCAGGCGGTGCAGGAGTGTCGGTTCTGCAAGAACAACGGCGAGCGCGAGTCGTACTACCGCGGGCACCGGCTGCGCGACGCGCGCGGCGCGGTGTGAGAGTATGTATGATTGTATGTCGCGGCAGGCGGTGCAGGAGTGTCGGTTCTGCAAGAACAACGGCGAGCGCGAGTCGTACTACCGCGGGCACCGGCTGCGCGACGCGCGCGGCGCGGTGTGAGAGTATGTATGATTGTATGTCGCGGCAGGCGGTGCAGGAGTGTCGGTTCTGCAAGAACAACGGCGAGCGCGAGTCGTACTACCGCGGGCACCGGCTGCGCGACGCGCGCGGCGCGGTGTGAGAGTATGTATGATTGTATGTCGCGGCAGGCGGTGCAGGAGTGTCGGTTCTGCAAGAACAACGGCGAGCGCGAGTCGTACTACCGCGGGCACCGGCTGCGCGACGCGCGCGGCGCGGTGTGAGAGTATGTATGATTGTATGTCGCGGCAGGCGGTGCAGGAGTGTCGGTTCTGCAAGAACAACGGCGAGCGCGAGTCGTACTACCGCGGGCACCGGCTGCGCGACGCGCGCGGCGCGGTGTGAGAGTATGTATGATTGTATGTCGCGGCAGGCGGTGCAGGAGTGTCGGTTCTGCAAGAACAACGGCGAGCGCGAGTCGTACTACCGCGGGCACCGGCTGCGCGACGCGCGCGGCGCGGTGTGAGAGTATGTATGATTGTATGTCGCGGCAGGCGGTGCAGGAGTGTCGGTTCTGCAAGAACAACGGCGAGCGCGAGTCGTACTACCGCGGGCACCGGCTGCGCGACGCGCGCGGCGCGGTGTGAGAGTATGTATGATTGTATGTCGCGGCAGGCGGTGCAGGAGTGTCGGTTCTGCAAGAACAACGGCGAGCGCGAGTCGTACTACCGCGGGCACCGGCTGCGCGACGCGCGCGGCGCGGTGTGAGAGTATGTATGATTGTATGTCGCGGCAGGCGGTGCAGGAGTGTCGGTTCTGCAAGAACAACGGCGAGCGCGAGTCGTACTACCGCGGGCACCGGCTGCGCGACGCGCGCGGCGCGGTGTGAGAGTATGTATGATTGTATGTCGCGGCAGGCGGTGCAGGAGTGTCGGTTCTGCAAGAACAACGGCGAGCGCGAGTCGTACTACCGCGGGCACCGGCTGCGCGACGCGCGCGGCGCGGTGTGAGAGTATGTATGATTGTATGTCGCGGCAGGCGGTGCAGGAGTGTCGGTTCTGCAAGAACAACGGCGAGCGCGAGTCGTACTACCGCGGGCACCGGCTGCGCGACGCGCGCGGCGCGGTGTGAGAGTATGTATGATTGTATGTCGCGGCAGGCGGTGCAGGAGTGTCGGTTCTGCAAGAACAACGGCGAGCGCGAGTCGTACTACCGCGGGCACCGGCTGCGCGACGCGCGCGGCGCGGTGTGAGAGTATGTATGATTGTATGTCGCGGCAGGCGGTGCAGGAGTGTCGGTTCTGCAAGAACAACGGCGAGCGCGAGTCGTACTACCGCGGGCACCGGCTGCGCGACGCGCGCGGCGCGGTGTGCTGCCCGGTGCTGCGCGCGTTCCGCTGCCCGCGCTGCGGCGCTGCCGGGGACCGCGCGCACACCTCCAAGTACTGCCCGCTCGCCACCGCTGACGGTTAGTATCCTACTCTATCGCAACTTGCTTTACGTACATACTCATGTGACATAATAAGAATAAAATGGGAAATAAGGTTTCACCTTCATATTGCAAACGTAAATAGTAGACACACAATTATGTCATTAATTTACTTACCTATATTTAAATGGTTACATATCTATTTGCATAATATAATTACGCATTATACCTCATGCATAACTTTTTTAGCATAATATCCTAACTAAAGCATAATTTTTTGCCCTAAATTATAAGATGCAAAGTTAATAAAGTGTCTGCAGAAAGAATAGCTATGTCATAAGCAAATGTTCCAGTGACTACACCCTCGGTTATTGAGAGGTCGGCTGTGAAAAGCAGATATAGTATTGGACCCATCACACTGCCTTGTGGTACTCCAGCTTTAACAGTATGTAAAGTTGTTATCTCCTCACCGTGTTTTACAAAAAAGTGTCTATCGCTTAGATAAGAATCTAGAAATTTATAGGCAGGTCCCGTTTTATTTTAAACAGGAATCCGTCATGCCACACACTATCAAATGCCTGAGACATATCTAAGAAGACTGCAGTACTGTATTGTTTTGACTCAAGAGCGTTGTTGATATGTTCCACTAATCTGTGTACTTGCTCTATGTGACCCCGGTGAAAGCCAAACTAGTGATCAGGTAAAAGTTTATGCAAACCGATAATGGGGTGCAATCTACTTAGGATAATTTTCTCCATGACTTTCGATAGTATGGGCAACAAGCAGGGTCTGTATGGTTGTGCTTCTTCTGGGTTTTTACCTGGCTTAGAAATCATTATCACTTGTGCTACTTTCCATTGGGGTGTAACCACACCTCTTTGCAGGATAGCATTGATGAGAAAAGTTAGAAATTGAATGCCTTCTATTGGTAGTTCTCTTAAAATTTTGCCAGTTATGAGATGGTATCCAGGGGCTTTATTTGGGTCCAGCACCTTAATTGCTGTGCTTACTTCTTTCTTTGTAACTTCGAGAATAGGAAGATCAAGTTCTTTCTTTGTGATTTTCCATAAAGGACAATCCACACAATAATGACATATGCCAATTGAGAATTCTAATCTGATGATTAATTGGGAAATTGGTTGCATATCTGCGATCTTAGATTTCAATAATTTGGTTCTCCTTTGGTGCGTCCAAATTTTTTAAGGAGGTTTGGGTATTTTGGTTGTCATTATCCTGTAGTGGTGATTTTAGCAATGCTTGCAAGTAGTTGAGATGTGTTTTGTCAGCAGGATAATCGGTCTTGCTACTTTTTTCGATCCTCCCGTTTTTCAGCTAGTAGTTCTGGAACAGATAAGGGACATTTTTGTTTGTGTGCCGGATCTCTGGGAACTGGAAAAGCAAGCCAAGCTGAGAATTATGCCAACATAAAACGGAAGCCTAAAAAAATTATGCAAAACAAATTGTGCAAAAGTATATTAGGACAAAGAACATTATGCGAAAAAAACGGATCCCTATTACAATTTCTAGATATATGTAAAGCTAGGCACAATTTATATTACTATTCATCATTTTTAAATTGTATAAAACATTGTAGCCTTCTTATCTCTTGCTTACTTACTTATAGCAAACTTTTGCTTACTTATAGCAAATTCTAATAAAATTTTGCTAATCGAAACCTTCCAGGTGCAAATGGGAATAAGTAGGTAGTTTTATACTACCAGACATGGTCTTCTTTTCATTTTTATTTCAAATCTATTTTGTAGACCGGTAGCTATATTTCAATTTTGTGTAGAAAAAATATTTATCAGAGATACAGAAAAAGTATTTTTCAAGTGACTACTAAAATAAATCATAACAACCGAATGCATGGGTATTTAGGGGGAGGCTGTATGTGCTGTCCAACAACATTTGTGTTCAAATTTACTAATACCTACTAAACTAACTCATCTATTAGTTAGTAATATTTCTAATGTAAATTTCATTTTTTTCTTATTCTAGAACGTATGAAATCCACCGCCATGATGCGCAGTGTCCGCATGGCGTCCGGTCGGCGCCGCAATAACACGGTGGCGCCATCTGTCGCCGACACCGACAACTACATGGTCTTTGGAGAGGCAACGCCATCTGTCATATCTGATACTGATACATACAAATCATTCGCACAAAGTTCCCCACTGGACCCACTATGGGCCGCTCTTGAAAAAAAGTTAATGTTATAATTTTCCAGTTTTGATAGCAAACAAATAAATTAGTATTTAATTTTAAAACTGCTGTCAAAACTATCACCTAGTTGATTGTGTTGCGGATAGATGGCGCTGTACTCAATTAAGTGGGAATGAAGATTTATTTTTATTTTTTCGTTATTAAATTAAAATAATCTAGTATTATGAATATTGACTGATACATTATAAGTGTTTAATTGTTTATAGTATGTTGACTATTGTTAAATAAATCGTGGTGTTATTACGATGCCAATATTAATTTGTTATAGATCAAGGATAAATAATGTTGATGTTAGTATTCTGTGTTTATGTACTGGTTAATACCAGCTATAGATAGCTGTACATTAATTAATAATGTTTTATTAAAATATAGACATTGCACATATGCATTGATAAGTCTGATTGATAGTATAACAACGATAGCAAAATGTAACTGCTAAGGTACAAATTAATTTGCTAATTGTATCTTTTAAGTGTGACCACGCTTTCAAAGCGTGTTATGAAAACATTATATCATTTTAATTACATCTTGTGTATAGAATAATGAAAAAAATAAATCATCAGAATCTGTTAACATGCGGATATTTTAGCAGTAAAAATGAACTTCTAAACAATATCAAATAAAACTTATACTTGCAACACATTTTCTTTAATCAATGATAAGTATTGAAAATAAAATGTTAATCTAGTATGAATTTGTAACACTGAACTAATTAAATTACTGGTTGAGGCCGTTATTTAGAATTTTTCAAACCTGAATCGGTCTAGATTTCGCTTAATAAAGTTTGAATAAATTACCAGTTTTAGCAGCAATTAAAATTTATTTAGCTACAGTTATTTTGAAAGTAGAACGAAAGAATTTGACTATTCTGTTTAAAAAATAAATACATAGCCACTGAACATTATAATTTTTTCACTCTCAAATAATATTAATAATAAAATTTATTCAAACTCTGTTATTTTAATAATATTGTCAAAATAAGTTGTTAATAATTTTTGAATAAATTATTCAACTTATTTATTAATTTATATTTTTCTTATTCCGTTTATTGATTTATTGGAGTTTGCAAATTTATTGGATATTCAATTTGGAGTCCGCATGTCAATAAATATTTTGAATTCTCTTGTTTACAACTTCATTAATTTCTTACTTGTCGAATAAGTTGACCATTAATTTGTCACAGACCAGTATGATATGCTAAAATATTATTATCGCTAGATCATCTAGATTTTTATTTTGTTGATCATTATGTTGTTATAACATTTATATTACATTATAAATTGGTGGAGGTGTCTTTTGGGGATCAAATAAATCGGATCATATATAAAAGTTGGTGTTGTTTGTTTATTACCTTTTCACCTACTGCTTCTATCCATCAGTTAAGGATTATAAATACTACTTGAAAACTCTTGGTAGCTAAGAACGACCCCGTTCCTTCTGCACCAAGCGAGCCATCAATGCTCTTGGACCTGCATCCCTGGCTGGGCATAGTTGTACCCCATCTGCGGTTAGAAATGGAAATTAAACCTAAAAAACATTGCAATATTAAAATGATCTTTTTACCAACCACATAATGACAGCCATCCGGTAAGGATGGCTATTATTAATAAAGATGAAACTTACTGCACCTAAAAAAACAACTACTAACTACTCCTTCTTATTTAGGTGCAGTAATTTTCATCTTCAAAAGCTTACCATCACAATCACAACAGGCTGCAGCCTATCTTTGCCAATAGATTGAAATAGGCTGACTGTCATCCAACAGTGGATAGGGTCTTCTATAGAGATGTGACGCGGCTGGATTCCCTAGCACAGCATACCACAAATCTTATGTAATTATGTAGGTAGGTACTTAGTTACCTTACTATACATCGTAAAACTTATGAAAAAAATACATATACCGAATCGGTCGAATTCAAACATGCTCCTATTGGTAGTCGGTTAAAAAGAGTAACCATGGATCAAGTTTCTTGCTAGTTCTTCTCCATAAGAATCTTACTTTGGAGCGACTAAATAGCTTCACTAGAAGACTGACCGCCTGACTTACTTTTTATCGCGTAAAACTAGTTTTATTCCGCGACTTTGCTCGTGTAAGATTGGCTGTTTCACGGTTGAATGTTGGAATGAATGTTATTTAAAAAGATACTGTAGACAATATTATGTATTTTAGTAGAGCAGGACCTTTTTTGTGTGAGGGCAAAGTCATCAAATGACTTCTCTTGTCTCATCCAGGGTGAGGCGGGAGGGAGTGTACGACTCTTACTGACTAAACTCTCCGTTCCTTCTGCTCCAGGTCTAGGCTGGTCTTCTGGTCCTGAGCTGCCTTCTCACAGTTTTCGGCCAACTCTTTCATCCATTCTTCTATACTAATATTATAAAGAGGTACAATTTGTAAGTTTGTATGTAGGGGGTAATCTTTGGAACCGCTGGTCCGATTTCCAAAATTCTTTCACTGATAGATAGCTACAATGTTCCTGAGTGCTATAGGCTATAAAACATCACGCTACGATAAAATGGAGCCGAGCAGCGGGTGAAACAGCGCGAGAGTAGCTAGTTTGATATAAGACAAGTAAATAGTGTACCTAAAACGACTTTACTACATAGCACAAAACGAAGTCGCTTATTATGTCCCTATATCCTTATTCCTTATGTATGCCAAAAGCTTTAAAACTACGCCACGGATTTAGATGCGGTGATTGTAAAATATAGACTGATTGAAGAGGCAGTTTTATACGTATGGATGGATCTTCTTCATCCATTAAATAGCGGAGAAATTAAGTACCTATTAGCACCTGTGCAGCGGGTAACTAGTTCTTATGTTTTGAAGGTTCAAAGTGCCATATTATAGACTAATTGAAATACATTATTTAACTTCGACGTTGACCACTGGAGACGAAACAATTTCTCGAATCACCATCTGGTTTGATATATCCACGAGTCTACGCTTGTCCTACATGAGTAACCTACTTGGAAGTGTTCAAAGGAACCAGTTAAAGTCGAACCGGCGACCGTTCCTATGTACCGCGGCCGCCCACGTGTATAAAGTGATGCACTACCTACCACCTATCATTAAACTTGTAGTATTTCTTTAACGTTTTCATTGTCTGTTAGAATTTATTTTAGAAGATAGATAGGTGATTGATGTCACTTCAAAAAGCTATATATTTCTGCATAGGAATAACGAAGTGCTATGTGTTATTATGTATCAGCATACTTTAATATGGTATTTTTTTCTTCTTAATAAAGTAGGTAGTCTTCTTTAGAAAGGGCAAAGAAAGAGTATCAGAGAATGAGAGAGAGATATAGTCCTAGGAAGACAAGCAATAGGCAGGTATAGGGATGAAGGTAGCCTAAAATAGTAGATAGATAACCTGTAGGATTATTGAATGGACTTTATTATAATGGCTACTGTTAACGTAAGAACTGGAATAACCTACTTAAAATCTCTTTCCCACAGATAGGCTTTTAAGATTCTATCTCAGTTCTATTCCATTGTCAATAATTAGAAACAATTATTCGATTAACACTTCAAAAGATAGTAAAAGTTGTGCTAAGTGTGTCAAACATCGCGCCTGCGCCTGCGCTTGCCGACCGACGAAAAATAAACATTATTATTGCAATTAAAAAAAGTCGCACGATACTTTGAATGTGCTAGCTCGGTGTACTCCAAAACCTATAAAACATGGCAATCAATTTACAACCTTCTACCTCACGCACCAAAGTAGAATTTCTAACGACAAAAATCAAATGAAGTCGTTTAAAAATCATTCAATTTTAAACTCACGCGCCGAAACGCCGCGTACCGTTTTGAATTCATTGATCATTCATCTTCAACGCTTTAATCGACCTTAAAATCAAAATAACAAGTCATACTTTCCTTTAAACGTGCAGTGGTGTTGAAAACGGGACTTTAATTTGGTAGGCGAAGGTAGCATTTGCTTTGGATGGCAGTGTCCAAAATATCTAGGTCCCAATCCGGTTGATTTGGGAATGTGTGTCGCGGAAGTGGGCTACGAAGAGCCGAGGGCAGGTGAAGGTAGCGGGGGAGGAGCGGCCACGCTGAGATTATGCACATCTGTATAATGGTCGCTGGCTGTTAAAATTGGCACACTTTGACCACTAAACGAAGATCTACTGGGCTGTAAGGAATGTTTATTCAATCGGAAGATCAGGGATTGAGTCATGGGAACCTTGCCACTTGTGTTTTTGAGTATTTAATTGACAGTTTTCGTTATAAAGTGAGAGATGTGAATGTTCGAACGAATATTAAGTATAATAAGTATGACTGCACGGTTTGCGCACGTTTGGTGTCGTCTTCGATTCTCGCACTCGTTCCGTACGGGAATGCTTTTTGTGTGATTCAAAAATTATTGTTTCGGATGTCGGTGTCATGTGTGTGAAATTCCGAAGCCCCAAACTTACATCTCTCCTTCCTCCATCCTCAATCTCCAAATCCCCAACAGTCCACAAAAAGCCGGCAACGTATTTGTAACTCTTTTAGTGTTGCGAGGGTCCATTGGGGGACTGATACGACCTTCGAAGCCTTAAAAAACCCAAGGCAACGCGCCAGTGACTCTTTTCGTGCTGCAGGCCTCCATAGTCGACGCTGATCACTTACCATTAGGTAATCCGTCTGCTCATTTGCCTCCTATTCCATAAAAATAATAATAGTAATAAATAAATAATAGTTAAATAGATATTTTTTTAGTCTTATCAATTAATTATTGTACGGGACAGCTATTTGAATTCCAATTGCAATAAATGACGTAGATAGATAGTAAAGTATCATTGCTTACTGGACTTCCTCTTAATTATACACAAGCTATGATTAGTGGCTACTGTTCTCCGCCAGCCTACAGCCTGAGGCACACAACCCCATTCTAAACATTGTGGGCCGAAATAATACCGCCATTTCAACTAACATTATAAATCAGATTTTTGTTTGTCTGTCTGAATTGTTGATAGCTAGTAATAAGGATCGGCACAAATGTTTGTG